TGCAGAGACGGGGGCCTCAGGGAGGCCACGTCTTCATCATGTTATTAGGGTTAGGGGTTCTTTTGTGCTCGATGATTCGGCTCCACCTGCCAGGCACAGAAAGCGCCGAACATTGCACAAAGCCCGCCTCCGAGACGTCCACAATGGTCCCGCACGGCGTCCAAGATGGACCAAGACGGCTACGGCAAGTTCGTGTCGTACCGACCCTGGCGTCGGTTCCTGACACCGCGGAGCTCGTTCCACCTCGAACGATCGGCCGTTTTCCAGACGTCCGATCGTTCAACATCGACCGATTCTGGGTCGCCGGCGGCGTTCAACGTTGAACGCTAGCGGCGGAGTCGCCGCCAGTCGACACGACGCGAGCCTACCGTATAGGTGCACTCCGATGGCTTCCAAGATTGCCCCAGGGAGATTCACGATGCTTCTAAGATGGCCCGCATGGCCCCCAAGAGGATCTAAAAGGCTCTCGCGGAAGTCTCTTGGGCCGTTCCTGGGGCCCGCAGGGTCGGCCCAAGAGGCCATACCCATTGGAACACACACACACACAAGTAAATACATGGGTTTATGGTTATCGCTTTCGGACTCAAGAACATACAAGGCGGCAAAATGCGCCCCCAGTGCCAGCCAAAGACGGCCCAAGTACAATGCAATAGGACCGCAAGACAGCGCGAGAGGGGCCCGAGACTGCCCCGCAGAGCCGCAAGACGGCCTTAACTTGCCCCAAGACGACCCCAAAACGGCCCAGAGAAGAGAGGCACGGGCGCAAGCCCTAAGACGGCCCCTGATATCCCCACGATGCCTCAGTAGAGCCACAGGAGGCCCCCAAGAAGGCCTACAATGCCAGAATAGAGCTTCCAGACAGCCCCAAGATGGCCTCGAAGGCCCCAACATCCAGGGGAACACGCAGTCCGCTAGCGTGGCCACCCTTTCACTCTACAGTTCACTACAAAGGCGCATCCAAAGGCAGCTGGCGGCGTTGACTCGCCGTAAGCGTCGTCGATAAAAACTGAACCCTCTCATAATTACATACTTACGGGGGAGCGATGGAAAGAACACTGCAGAGGAAGAGGGAAGAAAGAGGTGATGACGAGGAGGAATGACGGAAGACGACGAGGGAGGAGGAGAGGGAGGAGGAGACAGGAGGAGGGAGGGAGGGGAGACATCATATCAAGTAATGGCGTCCACTAATGTGCGCCGATCAACTTTGTACCTCCGTGGGGGGGGGGCAACGAAAACACTGACCACCCTGAAGTAAGTTCTTGGTAACGGGTGAGAAGCAGTGCGCAAGATGCTAGAATCGGCCCTCGAGGCGGGGGGAGGAGGAAGACCAGCGGACTGCGGAGGGAGATGAGGAGGAAGAGGGGCAGGGGGGTGGATGGTAGGGCCTCGAGCTGTGCACAGACAGCCCCTCCAGGGAGGCCCAGCTGACCTCCACAGGGCCCCCCAGGTAGTCCCAGCTGGCCTGTTGCAGTCTGGGGCGGTCTCATCACCCCGGCGCTGCCTCTGGCGACGCACCTGGGGCGCTCCCCGACCTAGGCTCAGAGTCGGGCATGTCCGCCTACAGGCGGATTTTCGGAGAAAAATTTTGAATAGCCAAGAAACTCAACAATGGTCCAAAATAGTAGAACATTGTCCCCAGACATTTAAAAAACACATGCTTGAATATTCCTCCTGGTACAGGCCCGACTTAAAGGTTAGTATGTTGAGACCGCCACGGGCTACTCTGGGTGCCTGTTGAGTCCAGCCGGGACCACCTGGGGGACCGGTCGGTGCAAACCCCGAAGCCGTATAGGAGGTGGAGGAGGGGGAGAATCAAGCTAGGTGCGCTCGCGTCATATCTGACGTCCTACCCCTCCTTCCCATCCCTTACCATGGCGTAGATCTACTCTCTATTCGCATAGTCGGATGTCGAGCAGGGATCCCGAGAGGGTGCGCGACGCATCGTCGAGAGAGAATCCAACCCAGAATAATCACCCCGACAAGCGAAGCCGTTCAGTAAACGCACCCGATGAAGGAATCGAACAGGGCGGGGCTGTTTAATAAACGCCCAGGGCCGTTCAGTAAACGTCAATTGTCGGGTCCGGATGGTTTTTCCTCCCTCCCTTGAGAGGAGGCAGGGGGGCAAGGATCGTCTTCCGTGCGAGCGGGGTCAAGACAACTTGTGTTGCGTTCAATGCCGGCCGTGCCAGTTGCCTGGCACGCCTCCTGCTGCTGCTCCTCCTCCTCCTCATCCTCGTTATCCTCACCTCCTGCTCTTCCTGCTCCTCTTTCTCCTCTTCCTTCTCCTCTTTATCCTTGTCTTTCTCCTCCTTCCCCCCCTTCCCCCCAGTCGTCGTCTGCGTCCGTCGTGATCTTCCATGTGCGGGGGAGTGAGGGGGAACATCAGGAATGCGCTTGTGAACGTTCGGGGTGCGCCTACGGCTGGCTCAGCTGCGCGGGGCTAGAACGAAAACGGCCGCGAGCGCAACATCGGCGATCCTCCACCCGCCCCCGCCACTAC